AGGATTGGGAAAAAGAGAGTGAGATCCAAGATAAAGTACAAATGAAAAAGTTTTTATATACAGTTAATCCGAAATGGATTTTTCCAGAAGTGTGTGTTGATTATAGTATTTATGATAAAATAAGGAGCAGTGGGGGTAAAGGGAATTGGGATGTGATTACGGAAGATAGGTTAAACAGCTATGAGTCTTTTGTGCATATATTCACAGATGGTTCAAAGGAACTGGTAGGGGGAAAGACCGGTTTTGCCTTTGTGATACCACATATGGGAGTAGTAGTTCGGAAACGAACTCCTGATCATTTGTCTGTGTACACAGTGGAGATGATGGCTATATTGTTTAGTCTTCAATGGATGGAACAAAATAGAATTAAGAAAGGGCTTATATGTACTGATTCGTTGTCTGTCTTAGTGTCGGTTAAATTAATGTCTACCAAAAGTCGACTAGACATTTTATATGAAATATATGAGACCGTGTTTAGATTAAGGAAATTGGGTACTGAAGTTGCCTTTTTGTGGGTACCGGCACATAGAGGAGTAGAAGGAAATGAAATGGCGGATTATTTTGCAAAAAAGGCAATAAGAGAGAGTGAAATAATACATGTTGCGTATAGTGCAGCTGAAATTAAATCTATCATTAAGGCACATATAATGGAAGAGTGGCAAAGACTGTGGGAAAGGGAAAAGAAAGGAAGACATTTATTTCAGATACAAGGGAAAGTAGGAAAATGGAAAAATATGAGGATGAATAGTAGAGATCAAAGAATAATATCAAGATTAAGGATGGGACATACTGGGCTTAATAATACGATGCATCTGATGGGGAAACATCCCACAGGTTTGTGTGGATGTGGGGTGGGGGGAGAAACGGTGGAACATGTTTTGTGTGACTGCATAAAATATGAGGAAAGTAGAGAACGACTCAGGGAGAAACTGAGAAACATAAGAGGTGGGGTGATTAGTGTAAGGAATTTGTTAAATGGTGAAGAAGGGAAATATAGGTTGGTTATTGAGTTTCTTACACACAGTGGTTTGTTGAATAGAATTTAGTTTTTTTTTTTACGCTCTTACTCCGACTCACACTCCAGCACAGTAGGTGGCGGAAATGCACCTAGAAGTTAGATGCCACCCACCAATAAACAAAAAGAAGAAGAAGAAGTGTTCTTGTTGGTCCATCAGTGTTGTTTGTATATGTTGTCAGCGTTGCTCGTGCTCTGTGTGAGTTTTTGTTTCTAGGCTTTGGTGCTCTTAGTGAGTTTTGGGTGTTCCTGTGCTCCAGGACTTTTTGGACTTTGGCTCGCTGCCTTGGATTGATTTTTGTTCCTTTATCCTTCAAATAAAAGATTATTTATTTGACTCCATCTCCTGCCTCGTGTCATCCTGGGTTATCTGCATATTTTGGGTCCTAATCATCCTCCCAAACGTGACAGGAAAGTCCTTGGATTAATTAGAACATTTACAGTCTCAGAAGGACACGCCGCAGAGCCAAGAGACGTTGGAAGTCAACGATTAGAAAGCAACAGGCTGCACTTTAGAGAACTGATAACATCTCTGAATGAGACTTCCAGGGCCACTTACTTTGCTCAGCTGACTGCTGTAAACAAAAATAACTGTAAAGTCCTGTTTGACACCACAAACCAGATTGTTTCACCTCAAGCCCCTCATGCCAGTTTACTCAAATGATAATGATAAATGACCCGCACTTGTATAGCGCCTCTCAGAGTAAGGACTCCAAAGCGCTTTACACTACAGTGTATCATTCATCCATTCACACACACATTCACACACTGGTGGGGATGAGCTACGATGTAGCTACAGCTGCCCTGGGGTGCACAGTCAAGGTCTGACTGGAACAACTTTCTAGCATTCTTTCAGAATAAAATAAGAACTATCAGGGCAAGTTTGTTCTCACGGTGCGGAGGCTCGTCCGACGCCCACACAGTAAAAAAAGGCAAACTTTTTAGTTGGATTTAAAATGACGACTTCTATCGTCAATGGCAGTTAATGACTTCTTCCGGCTCTTGGAGAGTACAGATGCTTTTTTCCTCCTCTCCTCCCTATCTTATCCCAAGGCTCTTTGTCTGTCTTTGGGTGTGGGGCGCTTCTGCATTTTTTCTAGAAACTGAAATTACTAAAATGGATCTGGTCAGTTGGTCTCTCAACGCGATTGACCAAATTTTTTTAACGATGAGAACGGGAGAAGGGGCTCCCGGATGCCCCTCTGGGACAGAGCCAGCTGGGCATATCATGGACTCTGGAAAGAGTGGAACCGGATCTGCCTCTCTCAACTGTCTGTAGAGGATTCTGAAGACCACCCTGATCCGGTCGAACCAGTACCACCCTGATCCGGTCTAACCAGTACCCTGACCCTTACCACCCTGATCCAGTCTATCCAGTATCACCCTGAACTGGTCTAACCAGTACAATAGGGCTGCAACAAACGATTATTTGGATAATCGATTAATCGGATGGGGTCTCGACACGATTAATCGATTAATCGGATTACATGGAGAAATTTTTAAAAACTGCTAGGGAAACGTTATTTCTCTCCTTCCTTCACTTTATTTAACACAACATTATTAGAAAACAGTTCAATAGCAGAAAATCAACATGCCATCACCTAAATTGTCTTATAAGGTGTATAGACAGAGACCCTAAGCTACATCTATCTGTGACCTAAAATGCTTGGTCCAAGTTAAACAGCTTAAGGGCAATTCTCATCTGTTTTGTTTGATCTCATCTGTTAACATTTATTTTAAATGTAATTAAACATAGGCTGTGAATTAATCAAAATTGATCACTATTTCCAAAACTGACTGAAAAAATATCAAATAAAACAAAAGTAAATGAATGCCATCCTCCTTGCAATGATGCCCTGGGCAACTGCCATAAAGTCACATCAAGAAATGCTGCTGATCATTCCAATGATCCCAAATAGACTCACATTAGGCCACATGAAAGCAACTGAACCCAAAAATATATTAACCAGTATATAACTGCACTCTCACACAACACGCCTGCAGCAACAGTTAGGACTCCTCCCTCCCTTTTAAAAGCATTTTTGCTTCTGAGGACATTGTGGTTGTAAAACCACATGCTAGTTGTCTGGCCCCGGTGTGATCAACCAGTTTCTGCGGGAATGTGACGGCGGAACCAGGGCCAGATTAACACTTTGTTGTACCCTGGGCAACAATATTCAAGGGCTCCATCATCACGACCCAAGGATCACCATAATGTGGTCACATACAGAATATTTTACTGTAATATGCAGTAAATATACTCAATACTTGAATGCCTGACAACAACGTAACCCGCCCAGAGTAACCTGTGACCCACCTCGTGTGGACTGACCAATGAGGAGACGGTCTTAACTTGAGGCCCTCTCTTCATTGGTCATTCTGCATGAGACTGACTCTCAACTGACATTCAGTCGTAGGCAGCGAAGCGTCTCTGTGCAGCGCAAAAGCCCGGGTGGACAGTTTGTTTAATATAGGGTGATCATATTTCCATTTCCAAACAAGAGGACAGGGGATCTGTGCCTATGACGTCACACTATGGCAACGTCACACAAACCATGTTGGGACCCATTTTTTGTAAGAACTAAATTAATATCAGATTCTGCCAATTAAAGGGCTCTAAAACAATTCATATGTAAATATTTTGCATTTTTAATGCAAAATCTAATTTTTCTGCTTTAGTGCTGCAACAAGGTTTTATTAATAATAAATTATTATACCTTTTGTTTTACTACAGCATCGGTAAGCTTCCTGTGCACAGATGATTAAGGATGCTTGTTTCAGCTGTGAGATTAGACGATAGGATCAATGAAAAAATAAGTTGTCACACACTCCATGGAAACTATAAGAGAATCCACAAATAGTGGCTTTCAAATGGTTTTGTTACTTTTTGCAAGTTTTTAAAAGCAGCAGATGAGACAGCATGTCTGATAATTTAGTTTTTCATCTGATAATATTAGAACATGTCAGTAATGTCTGAGGGGCTTTTATAAACACCATATAACTAACACTACTGGAGAGGGTATGAATTACACAGAGGCTTCTGGGGAGCCCAGTTATGGGGGGGGGGGGGGGGGGGGGGGGCATTTTGCCTTGGCCCCCAAAATGTCTTGAAACGGCCCTGGGTGTGTGACTGAGTTTTGAAGGTGATCTGAATTGTATCAGATGTATAAATATGACATGTGTATAACTTATTGTTTTTTACATGGTAAAAACGTGTCATTTGACTTTTCAACACTTTGTTTTGTTTTCTTGTTTTTATTAAACTATTTTCCTGTCCTGTCTGTCTCTCATCTTCCTGCATCTCCTCATAATTCTCCAGAAAATCTGTTGCCTGGATTCTTACCTTTTCACCTCATCAGTTACTTTTGAGCAGATCAAAGGGATCTCCTGACCGAAAAGCTCAGAGCGCGTTTTCGATGCTGCGTGAGGTGACATCACCACAGCACAGGTGATGAGCTCCGCAGTAGCGAGCTTCAGGCACAAATAAGACAGAAAATAGAGAACATGTGCGGACATGAACGATTGTGTGCTAATTATAGTTTTTTGGTTGCGCCACTTTGAGAATGGACCGTGCGCTGGACGCAGCTGCCTGGATCGCTGCGCGACAATGCGGAACCGGTTCGCAGCAGCGCAAGTCTGCCGGCTCTCCCTGTGCTGATCTGCCGGTACCGGCTCTCCCTCACGCTGATCTGCCGGCTCTCCCTCGCGCTGATCTGCGGCTCTCCCTCGCGCTGATCTGACTTGCTCTGGTCTGCGCGCAACGGCGGGCGGGAAAGGGGGGGGGGGGGGGTGGTGGGGCTTTTGGAAGAGTTGTGCGACACAACGAATCGATGACGCAATTCGTTGCCAACGCTTTTAGTAATCGATTTTCATCGAATTTATCGATTCGTTGTTGCAGCCCTACAGTACAACCCGATCCGGTCTAACCAGTACCACCCTGAACTGGTCTAACCAGTACCACCCTGACCCAGGTTAGGGTTAGTACCATGTCTGGATCTTCCTCAGAGCGATGCTGCGACATTCCTGCTCCCAGGCCAGCTGCTTCCGGACCTCCATCGTCTTCTGCTCCTTCAGCTTCTCCAGCTGCTGATGAATCGAGTCGACCCGCAGCTCCTGAACACAAACTCAAAATCTAAAAGGTTCCTTTAACTAAAGCAGCTGAAGTCAGGAAGCTGTTTGTGTCTTAAGGATTTTACATCTTTACCCGCAGGATTTGTAACTTCTTAGGAAAATGTTTTGGAGTTTTTAGAGACTGCTGGCTGTGTACCTCAGGTGTCAGACGGACGTGCTCTGGCAGCTTTTGGTTTTCCAACAGAATCTCTTGGAACTTCATCTGGAGCTCCTCAAGCTGCTTCTGCATTCTTGAGTGCTTCTGCTCAGTTTCATGATGAAGGTTTTTCTTCATCAGCTTCTGTCTGGCGGTCTCGATGCTACAGGGATGAAGGTCAGTAGGGGTCACAGGAAAGGTCAAACAAGGTAAATGAATAACAGCTGCGTCATAAACACACACATTAGCTCACATCATGGGCAGAGATGGTCAGAAAAAGTCCAGGCTCACCTGTCGGCTGCTGGGTCTGTGATGTCTGCAGCTGACACCAGAGGCTCCAGACCAACCTGAGATTAACACGAATGAAGTCCATTCATCAGAAAACTAACAATACCACATAAAACATGGAGCATCCATCCTAAAACTCCAGATTTTAATCTCTCTGCAGCCGGGGAACGCGTGGACTGACCCGGGGAGAGGGAAGTTTGACCTCTGTTGTTTGCAGGTGTTCCTGAACCTCCTCAGCAGGAACCAGGCAGAAGGAGAAGATGTTTCCATCGTCTCCAGCCGTGAGAACAAACAGGTCATCATAGCTGAAGCGAACGTGTTGCAGACGCCCATACTGGTTGTCGTGAACGCTTAGAGCCCAGAAGGCCCGCATGGAGGAGAGGTCGTGGTCTCCGGGCTGCAGAGGGTAAATTCTGATGGAGCCTGAGCTCATTCCACAGAGGAGCAGCTTCCTGTTGGAGCTGCAGAACACCAGGAAGGACGCTTCAGACTGATTTCAAAGCTGCGGCTTTATTTTTTTGACGTTTGCTTACCTGAAAGTGATGGAGCAAACAGGGTCGTCGTCTGCGTCGGTGATGGGCACAAAGTCAAAAGGCTTGTCCTGTCGCTGGTTCGGATCTTCTTCCTGATTCTCAGAGAACTCACAGTGATACAAGAACCCTGCGTCGAAGCCTCCCTGCAGGACAGAACCTCAATCTTTAGATTAAATGAATAATCCAGATTATCACCCCTAAACTAAAGGTGGTTGTTGGGAGTTTAAACTGAAGCTGGTGGTTGTTTTATTATCTGTTATTTCATAATGAATCTGTGGTGAGTGTCGGAGTCTGTACCATGGAGAGCCAGAACTGTCCGGGCCGTGAGTAGAAACCACAGCAGAGGGGACTAGGAGGATCTGGGATGAAGAGGGGAGGGTGTTCCTCCTCCTCCTCTTTCTCCTCCTTCACTGCCTGACGTCTGGCGAGTTCCTGCTCTCTCTGAATAAACCCAAGCAGATTTAAAATCACCTGATGATGAAACACTTTAAGCTGCAGGTCTCTGATATAGCTAACCGAGAACTTCACACCTTGATTTGAGATTTGATGCTCTTAAACCTAAAGGATCTCCAGGGCAGGTCCGACAGCAGGAAGGTTTGGGTTGGCACCTCAGCGTTTGGATCAGGACTCTGAAGCTCGATGACATGACCGCTCTGACACAAGACCAGCAGCCGGTTCTCGCTCTGGTGAGAAGCATTCAGCTGGAAGCGAGGTGTGCTACAAAAGCAGATGAACGATCATCTTGTCTCAGACTTACATGGGAGTGAGCAGACCACTCCAGCGCCTGAACAGGACCAGGAACGCGGACGAATCCCATGGGGCAGTACTTCCGCCCAACCAGGAAGAAAAACACAGTGCAGTCTGAACTCTTAGTGGGGGTGGAGGAAAACCAGATGGAACGTATGAGTGTGTGAGAACTTCTGGACTGATTTTAATGAAACGCTCTGGATGCTAAGATCCGCCTTTTCACATATAAAGCTCTTAATAGGCTGGTTTAAATCCTACCTGTCTGACAGATTTCATTTTATAAATGTACATGACAAATCTTCATACTCCAGGGTTACTTGTGGAGTACCACAGGGTTCAGTGCTTGGACCATTTCTTTTTACTATATATATGCTCCCAATTGGTAAAATCATTATACAGCATGGGATAAACTTCCACTGTTATGCTGACAATACTCAGTTATATTTATCCATTAACCCTGATGAACCTAATCGGTTGGGTAGATTACAGGCTTGTCTTGAGGACATAAAAAATTGGATGACTCTAAACTTTTTGCTTTTAAATCAAGACAAGACGGAAGTTCTCATCTTTGGACCAGAAATCCAGAAAAGGAAATTGCTTAGTCAATCACCTGACCTGAATGGCATTAAATTAATCTCCGAGAACAAAGTAAGGAACCTTGGTGTTATCTTTGACCAGGACGTGTCATTCTAATCCCAGGTTAAACAGGTTTGTAGGATTTCCTTTTTCCACCTTCGGAATATTGCTAAGATTAGAAGCATCCTTTCCAGGAGTGATGCTGAAAAACTAGTTCATGCATTTATTACATCAAGACTGGATTACTGTAATTCATTACTCTGAGGACGTCCACAGAATGTAGTTAAAAGTCTTCAGCTTGTCCAAAATGCTGCAGCTAGAGTTCTGATGAGAATTAAATTCAGAATGGATTTTGAGATCCTTCTTCTCACATACAAAGCTCTTAATAATCAAGCTCCATCATACATCAGTGATCTGATTGTTCCATACGTTCCTAACCGAGCACTTCGCTCTCAGACTGCAGGTTTACTGGTGGTTCCCAGAATATCTAGAAATAGGATGGGAGGCAGATCTTTTAGTTATCAGGCTCCTCTCCTGTGGAACCAGTTCCCAACTTTAGTCCGTGAGGCAGACACTTTGTCTACTTTTAAGAATAGGCTTAAAACATTTTTATTTGATAGGGCCTATGGTTAAAATCTGATGTTAGCCTAGATCTGGACAAGTGGGGGAGTAGAGGGAGGTGGAGTGTACAGTCGGTAAAGACGGCTCTCCCTTGCCCTGCCTCCATCTAAAAGGCTAGGTTATCCAGAGTTATCTCTGTAGTTATGCTGCGGGTGGAGGGCTTGTTCTGTGTGCGCATGAAGCGGTAAAAGTGATAAGGCTGGAGTTCATAATTGTATCTTCTCAGCAGCAGCACTGCAGGTGCTCTCCATGTCCAACATGTGCGTAAGCCAGGTCCTTAGTCAACTCAAAGTTTTGCACATTTTTCCACTAAGTTTTCTTTCATAATCCCAAAGTTTGCGTGGAAAGTTGCTTGCGCAGTTTTTCGACCTGGTTTGGTGCGTAAGCATGATTGATAAATGAGGCCGCTGACCTGTACTGGGATGTTTACTGTGTGAAGGTCCTCTTGTTGTGATTTGGCGCTATATAAATAAACTTGAATTTATTTTAATTTAATTGAACCTTGGTTGTTTTATCCTTCAATAAAAAAAATCAAGCAACTAAAAGGATTCTCTCTTTAAAAATGTTACACCAACCTTACCCCCAAACATGTGCTGCTCTGGTTTCAGAATTGGTAAATAGCCTGTATTAGATATAGCGCCTTCTAGAGTCCTGGAACCCCCCAAAACGCTTTACAACACAACCTGTCATTCACCCATTCACACACACATTCATCGATGAGCTACGATGTAGCCACAGCTGCCCTGGGGCGCATTGACAGAGGCGAGGCTGCCGAGCACTGGCGCCACCGGTCCCTCCGACCACCACCAGCAGGCAAGGGGGTTAAGTGTCTTGCCCAAGGATACAACGACAGCTACAGACGGAGCGGGACTCGAACATGCAACCTTCCAATTATGGGGCGAGCACTTAGGTCCTGTGCCGCCGTCGCCCAGGAACATCTAGCAGCTGCGTTTAAACGTTTGATGTCTGAAGTCTAATTCTAAACAGTCTTCCTGCGTCGATATTTAGTTAAATATGTTTTCTTTGCTGATTAAATTGATTGAATTTTGTTCAGAGTGTGAACTTGTTTGTGTTGTTTTCTGCTTCATGCTGTTTATTGTTGACCGTAGCTGCATGACTCACCCCTGTGGCTAGGATCTCTCCATTTCCTTTAAAAGCCACCGCAGTCACGGGGGCGCTGTGAGGTTTGAAGGCCTGCTGGAGGCGTAGCTCGGCCGTTTTCAGCCTCTCATGGTTGAATAGCTCCAGTAAACGGATCACCCCATCCTCAAAACCTGTCACCAGTAAATCTTGACTCTGGCTTACCTGGAGGCAAACACAGCAGCTGCAAAGGTCGGTGTTCTGTCCTACCCTTCACCCTTCAGTACTGCCACACTTACGGAAGATGGAGCCCAGCTGAGAGCCGTTCCACCCTGATTAAATCGGATCAGTGCCAGTTCACTTTTTGACAGGAAGTCAAAGACTCTGACAGAACCTAAACAACACAAAAATTCTGTTGTAGAACGACTTGGTGCTGCTGAGATTTAATGTCAGTAAGGTTGGGCGTCGAGCATTGATTGAAACTGGGACTAACTGTCAGTTTTTTATTTCGATTCCTAGTTTCGACTCCTAGTGTAACCGGGTCACCGTAGTTCCCGGAAGTAGTTCTGGTCGGACGTGCAGTGCCGCCGAGCCAGGCGTTTCATTATGAGGCCGCTATAATTGGGGCGGTTGGGCTCTAGCTGCAGAAAGCTGAATGCCTCTCCTTGTGTGCAGACGTGGGTGCAGCTAAGACAGTGGTGAGTGACCTGGCCTCGCTTTATTTTAGTAAAATAAAGGTTGTATTTTTAATTCAACGTTTCCTTTTTGTGAAGCGTGAGCGAGCTGAATGCTGATGAGGTATTTGTTTAGAGTATTTTGGTGTCTTTTTAGCGTAGGATTAACAATGTGTGTTTTTTCACAGATCTTAGCCTTAGAAATAAAACAAGGCTAAGCGGCTGGGCAACAGGAACTGGAGGGAGAAACCTGAGTGAAGACTGACAGGACCAGAGACAAGGGAGAAGGCAAACCAATGTCTAAGGTATGCACCCTGCCCTTTTCATCATTCAGCAGCTCATTTTAATTAGCGTTTAGCTCACGTTAGAGTTGGCACCTCTGCAGATTCTGCTGTTTTGCTTCTCCGGATTTTTTTGATTAGTTTCCGGCTCCCACGAGTAGAGGACACGAACTCCCGGCATCGCCTGGCGTGCGGGTGCTTGGATGCGACAGTGGCCGGTCCCGCTGGCCTATACCAGATGGGATCCACGGCCGCCAACGACATCACCTCCTAGACTAGACTATAGTGGGACTCCACTCGGGTCCAAGGAGGACCACCTCTCAGGTGTCTCCAGCAGCAAGAACTTTCGAGCTGCTTAGCTCTTTGCCGTGCGTGGCGCATGTCTGGCATGCATCTGAGTGAGACTGTTTGCTCTTTTAAAATAAATGATTTAACTTTATTTTTATTTATTTTAGACAGCCTGCAACTCCTGGCTGGTGAACTAGCAGGCTGTCCATATTTTTATAATTCGTTTAGCCAACTGTTTGTTGGTTTTGTTTTTAACAGTTTCTTTCTTTTATTGCAGGCTGTTTGCTCCCAGTGGGTACCATCGGCCTTGGTGGCGGGAGTTTTCCACGCGTGTGTGTGTGTGTGTGTTCCTTCACAGTGCACCTCCTGGACGCATGGCACTGTGACGGGTGACTTTAGTTTGGTTTGGTGTGTATTTTTTGGTTGGCCGAATTGGACCCTGGTAATCTTCAGCCTGTTCCGGTTAATTTAGTCTCTTTTCTTTTTCTTTTATATTTTAATAAAAGCACGTTGTTGGTCAGAACACGTCTCCTGCCTGATCTGTAGAGTGGACCTGTGTGTCTTTATTTCCTGAGGTGTAACTCCCCAGGTGAACTATTGTGGCCGACGTAAACGGAACAGAAAATAACCCAAAGACATTTTTTCATGCATGTGTGGAGATTGTAGACTGAATAAGTTAAAAATAATAGCCTTTATTCCGTGATTAACAGGTTAAAAATACTTGATTTATTTCATGGTTAAGCTGGTTAAAAACATACTTTATTGAAATGAGTGATTTGTTAAATATATTTCGTAATTTAGAAGACAAGTTTATCTAAAAAGCTATTTTGCTCATGAGTGAGAGTTAAAATGCACTGCAGTTGAAGATTGAGTGATCTGTGATAGATTATTCCTGCCTTGTCAAGACGACACAAAATTTGTGTATAAAATGCTTCTGATGTATTTGCGTAAGTATTACCTTTTATGTTTACAGTTTTATCTATTTTTTGGAGACCAATTGCAACTCTAGAGTTTGTTATTAAACGTTTTTAGCTGGTTAGGCATTGACTAGTCAGGTCTGAGTTGGCGCGAGGGGAAACGCAGAGCTTCCACTCATTCATTAATAGAGTGGAAACGGCTGAACTCACACCGTGTCTGCGTGGTTCCTTCTCTATTCCCCTTTTCCAGGGGTGAAACACATGCAGCTTTCTTTCTTCTTGTTTATTATTGTGTGTGAACATCTGAAATCACGTGTGGTGTCGCAATTCTTCCATGATTTTGTGACGTCACGGGATCAGCTGTGTGAAACGCTTTCACTCGCGTTTCTAGTCAGAACTGCTCCCGGTTGGGAACGAGCTTGCGGGTGGAACGCCGCTATTGCGTTACGCGACTGCTTCCACGGCCAATGGAGAGCCGGGGTCAGACTGCAGGCCTCAGCGTCTCTGCAACAAGGGTTGAGGTGGAGAAACAATCCAGGACCGGAATCGAAACGAGGAATTGGAATCGGAATCAGGACCGTTCAAATTTAAAATGATGCCCAACCCTAATTGTCAATCTGAGCTTAAACTCACAGTCCAGAGAGGTGGTGACCATCAGGTGGGAGCGCTTTGACACGTCCAGGCCTTTGATCAACTCGGAGTGGAAGGAGAACAGGCACTCTGGTTTAGAAGCCTGAAAACAAACACAAAGTGTGGTGAACTACAGCAAGTATCACAATGGCTAGAGACAAAGTTCCTCTGAGCAGCACGTGTAAAGAAGAATTAAAACCTCAGATGAAAAAGGTTTTTGGATTTTCATGGCTGGAATTTTAAGAAAATCTGATGTTTGTGACCGGCGCGGGGAAAACAGAAACTAACTTCCAGTCTAGGCCCTGGGCAGCTGGTGACGTTTCACAAAGAGCTCTGCTGAAACAGCTGTAGTAAACAACCCCGACTCCGGTGTTTCTGCGTTAACGTTACAGCAGAACAACGTGTCATCAGTCAGATGTAGCTTCTGAAGCCTCTGCTAGTCGATCACATTTGTTTTTTCACTGGGATACAGCGACGAGAACGGATATTGGACTACCGGAGAAGTTGAACTGAGCTCTGACCCCGCTAGCTGGATATCACCACCGGAGGGAAATTAATGGGGAAAGGACAAAATAAAGCACTAAAGCAGTTGGAGATCAAAGGCAAAGACACTTTATATGAGGAACTAGCTGAAATAGTGACTAATCTCAATAACCATTTTGTCAACTCTGTGAGACTGACTGTGCATAGTCCCATAAGTGGTCCACTACACTATTCATTGATGTATCACAGCCAGTCTTTGTTCTGACTGAAATGTCTGAATTCAAGGTTAAATCTATAATCATGTCTATTAAGAACAAGTCAAAAGATATATTTGGACTGGACTCCATGTTTTTAAAGAAACATGCTGACTCTCTTGCAGGGCCCATTACTACGATCATAAACACCTCTAAATTTCCAAGTGACTGGAAGTCCGCAGCTGTTGTACCAGCCTATACATCTGGAGATGTAACTGACATGAACAATTATAGATCGATTAGTATCTTACCTGTAATGTCTAAGATCTCTGAAAAATGTGTAGCTGAGCAGTTGACTGAGCATCTTAACAGTAGTCCTTTTAAATTACATCCAATGCAATTTGGCTTTAGAGCCAATCACTTAACAGACAGCTAACGGTTTCCTCGTGGAAAACATCAAGTCCAATTTGGACAAAGGAGGTATAGTTGGAGCAGTTTTTTTAGGTTTGAAAAGAACTTTCGACACTGTCAACCATGACATTTTCATCCAGAAATTGTCTTGTTTTAACTTCTCAACCAGTGCTACTGACTGCATGAGGTCTTACCTAGCAAACAGAGTTCAGTGTGTGATAATGGTGAAACATTGACACCATTGAGGAAAGCATTGGGTGTACCCCAGGGATCTGTCCTGGGCCCTATTCTGTTCAACATTTACATAAATGATCTCCCATCAGTGTGTACTGGATGTGAGGTGCAGATGTATGCTGATGATTAGGGCTGCAACAACGAATCGATAAATTCGATGAAAATCGATTACTAAAAGCGTTGGCAACGAATTGCGTCATCGATTCGTTGTGTCGCACAACTCTTCCAAAAGCGCCCCCCCCCTCCTGCCCGCCGTTGCGCGCAGACCAGAGCAAGTCAGATCAGCGCGAGGGAGAGCCGGCAGATCAGCGCGAGGGAGAGCCGCAGATCAGCATGAGGGAGAGCCGGTACCGGCAGATCAGCGCGAGGGAGAGCAGCAGATCAGCGCGAGGGAGAGCAGCAAATCAGCGCGAGGGAGAGCCGGCAGATCAGCGCGAGGGAGAGCCGCAGATCAGCGTGAGGGAGAGCCGGTACCGGCAGATCAGCGCGATGGAGAGCCGGCAGACTTGCGCTGCTGCGAACCGGTTCCGCCTTGTCGCGCAGCGATCCAGGCAGCTGCTTCCAGCGCACGGTCCATTCTCAAAGTGGCGCAACCAAAAAACTATAATTAGCACACGATCGTTCATGTCCGCACATATTCTCTATTTTCTGTCTTATTTGTGCCTGAAGCTCGCTACTGTGGAGCTCATCACCTCTGCTGTGGTGATGTCACCTCACGCAGCATCGAAAACGCGCTCTGCGCTTTTCGGTCAGGAGATCCCTTTGATCTGCTCAAAAGTAACTGATGAGGTGAAAAGGTAAGAATCCAGGCAACAGATTTTCTGGAGAATTATGAGGAGATGCAGGAAGATGAGAGACAGACAGGACAGGAAAATAGTTAAATAAAAACAAGAAAACAAAACAAAGTGTTGAAAAGTCAAATGTAGGTAGATTTATCTCCACGACACGTTTTTACCAGTAAAAAAACAATAAGTTATACACATGTCATATTTATACATCTGATACAATTCAGATCACCTTCAAAACTCAGTCACACACCCAGGGCCGTTTCAAGACATTTTGGGGGCCAAGGCAAAATGCCCCCCCCCCCCCCCCCCCCCCATAACTGGGCTCCCCAGAAGCCTCTGTGTAATTCATGCCCTCTCCAGTAGTGTTAGTTATACGGTGTTTATAAAAGCCCCTCAGACATTACTGACATGTTCTAATATTATCAGATGAAAAACTAAATTATCAGACATGCTGTCTCATCTGCTTCTTTTATAAACTTGCAAAAAGTAACAAAACCATTTGAAAGCCACTATTTGTGGATTCTCTGAAAGTTTCCATGGAGTGTGTGACAACTTATTTTTTCATTGATCCTATCGTCTAATCTCACAGCTGAAACAAGCATCCTTAATCATCTGTGCACAGGAAGCTTACCGATGCTGTAGTAAAACAAAAGGTATAATAATTTATTATTAATAAAACCTTGTTGCAGCACTAAAGCAGAAAAATTAGATTTTGCATTAAATATGCAAAATATTTACATATGAATTGTTTTAGAGCCCTTTAATTGGCAGAATCTGATATTAATTTAGTTCTTACAAAAAATGGGTCCCAACATGGTTTGTGTGGCGTTGCCATAGTGTGACGTCATAGGCACAGATCCCCTGTCCTCTTGTTTGGAAATGGAAATATGGTCACCCTACATTAAACAAACTGTCCACCCGGGCTTTTGCGCTGCACAGAGACGCTTCGCTGCCTACGACTGAATGTCAGTTGAGAGTCAGTCTCATGCAGACTGACCAATGAAGAGAGGGCCTCAAGTTAAGACCCTCTCCTCATTGGTCAGTCCACACGAGGTGGGTCAAAGGTTACTCTGGGCGGGTTACGTGTTGTCAGGCATTCAAGTATTGAGTATATTTACTGCATATCACAGTAAAATATTCTGTATGTGACCACATTATGGTGATCCTTGGGTCGTGATGATGGAGCCCTTGAATATTGTTGCCCAGGGTACAACAAAGTGTTAATCTGGCCCTGGTTCCGCCGTCACATTCCCGCAGAAACTGGTTGATCACACCGGGGCCAGACTACTAGCGTGTGGTTTTACAACCACAATGTCCTCAGAAGCAAAAACGCTTTTAAAAGGGAGGGAGGAGTCCTAACTGTTGCTGCAGGCGTGTTGTGTGAGAGTGCCGTTATATACTGGTTAATATATTTTTGGGTTCAGTTGCTTTCATGTGGCCTAATGTGAGTCTATTTGGGATCATTGGAATGATCAGCAGCATTTCTTGATGTGACTTTATGGCAGTTGCCCAGGGCATCATCGCAAGGAGGATGGCATTCATTTACTTTTGTTTTATTTGGTATTTTTTCAGTCAGTTTTGGAAATAGTGATCAATTTTGATTAATTCACAGCCTATGTTTAATTACATTTAAAATAAATGTTAACAGATGAGATCAAACAAAACAGATGAGAATTGCCCTTAAGCTGTTTAACTTGGACCAAGCATTTTAGGTCACAGATAGATGTAGCTTAGGGTCTCTGTCTATACACCTTATAAGACAATTTAGGTGATGGCATGTTGTTTTTCTGCTATTGAAGTGTTTTCTAATAATGTTGTGTTAAATAAAGTGAAGGAAGGAGAGAAATAACGTTTCCCTAGCAGTTTTTAAAAATTTCCCCATGTAATCCGATTAATCGATTAATCGTGTCGAGACCCCATCCGATTAATCGATTATCCAAATAATCGTTTGTTGCAGCCCTACTGATGATACAGTCATATACAGTATGTCCATGCAGAAACTAAAGCCCAAGCTGCTGCTAAGCTTAGCGATACAATGGTACGTGTACATAAATGGCTTACTTTCTCACAGCTGTATCTCAATGATAAGAAGAGAGTCTGTATGTTCTTTAGCAAAAGGAACATTTTTTCTCACAGTGACCCTACTGTCTGTGTGTCTGGGGAGCGCATTCAAACATTAACACGGTTTAAATGTGTTCAAAAATCCAAATCAAATTCAAATTTTATTTGTCACATGCACAGTCATACACCGTACGAAGTGCAGTGAAATGCCTTCCGCAAACACAACCTGACCAAGGTTACACACACACACACATGTAGACAAAACAGGTACAGGCAGTCCACGAGAGCAGCCAGGACGGTGCTCATTTCATCAGATGAGAAGGGTTACATGAGGATAAAAGTGGGGTAAGGTAAAAAAGTTACACCAGGGTTACTCCCAGCAGAGTAGCTCTACTGTACAAAAAACTCCTCAATACATAGCACAAACATCACAGATACAACATCAGACTCCGATAGGGAGGCGGGCGGGGGGTGGGTGGGGGGGTGGGGATCCTGAATCCTCCAACGGGAGCTTCCAGTGTACGGCGCTCAGCCAGCTGCAGTCAAACAGGTGGGACGGAGAGAGAAGGACCACAGAGCACATTGAGTTCCTGCAGGTTGATGACCTCGAAGCAGAAGTCCCAATCTGAAGGCAGGGGGGAAAGGTCGGGTTTCACAGCATCTGTCTGCGTTCCTCCTTTCGTGGGGGGGATGTTGATGGCAGCTTTGAAGGCTGCCTTGGTGTCAGATTAGGATAACAGACTTTGTTTAGGGCAGACAGAGATAATTTTCCTCTCTGCCTTGGAGTCTATTAAGTGATCATTCATGTCCACCAGTGAAGCCAATTATACGTTCTAAACATCCCCACACCGTCCGGCGACCCTCTCTGAGATGACATCCATCTTGCGCACTAACACAGGCAACGCTGCGAGGACATTGTCCAGCTTACAATTCACTTTGGTATGGCAGCTTTGGTATGGCACTTCAGGTGCTGGGGTAATGACAAACCCCAAATGCAAGCAGCGATGATTGTAAGTACTCTCCCTCCTGTGTTGCCTGTGCGACCTTAGCTATTGCTCGTTGCTCTATCTTAACGTGTTTGGTACCATGTGATCGCAGACTGGAGCTGCATCTGCTGCTACAACTGCACCCAGATACTACTAACCAGATCTCGGCCCGTGTGTGTGTGGCAGCCGTATTAAGGCTGATTTGACTCAGCCGCGTTACGACCGTAAGTCTTTGCCTCTGATTGAGGAGGGCCGTACTGATCCAGGGGGGCCATGCAGCAGTGTGGCTTCCCGTCTGTGTGCCGAGAACTGCTATTCCATTCAGCTTTGCCCGCAGCAGTGCCATCCAGAGTAGCAGAGTGTTTGATGGCGTCGGCGGTGCACTGGCCCTCCTGCTGCTCCATCTTGCCATCCCGCTGCCGCAACCAATCTCATCTCCAGCGCCGGTTGTGGGCCCAGAGGACTCCTCACTGCTGTTCTGTCCGTATGGATTTGTTTTGCATACAGGATTGATGTTAATTAGTGGTCGGGTGTTGGACTCCTGGTTGCCAGGGCAACCACCAGGGAACTCCGAGCCCTTGCCTTCCACCAATATGGTTTTTAGACTAGACTTTTAATAAAGAAGTGTATATTTGAATGTTACCATTCAGGAAAATATTGTCCTCGGTTTGTGTCCTTCCAGTGAGCTTTGCAGGTGTGGGAAAATGTCATCAGGCAGTAATCATTGTTAAATTCATAATTATTCTCAGAGAGAGACCAACTCTTATCTGACCCTGGGAGCCCTGTAATGCATAGCGTCATTTCAACATGGGGGTGTCCGTGACACGGTTTATATGCAGGTAGCGGTGCTGCGACTGCTTTATATAGCGACTCGTTGCATTCTCCCTCAACCCAAATCCTCGGATCACGCATTTTAGCTAAAACGCTAACGTTAGCTTGCCTTGCGTTGACTGTAGAGTTGTGGGTGATGGTCACGCAGATGTGTCATGAGATTTGAAGCGTTGCTGCCTTTCACAGACACTTTTTCTGCACGTGCTGCAAACAGGATCGCCGTCTTCTATCAACTGTCCCTCGGCATTCTTCAAATATCCAAAAGATGCCCATACTTCCCACTCTGTCTTCTTTGAGGGATAATAAATGTCCTCCTGAGCGCTGCCGTCTCTCCTCCTTTGACCATTATTTCAGCTTTAGCTTCAAGAAAGTTTTGGTTGTAAACAACAAAGCGCGCATGTGCCGCCGGCAACTTCAGCAGATGATACGGTGGCTGATAAGGGTCACCGCACCTACACCGCAGCCACGGTAACCCACCGAGATAATATAGTTTTTTTAAAAAGAAGACGGTTATTATTATTGTCAACTTTTTTTACCGGGGTTTACCGCTAACCCGGTTACCGTGACAACCCTACATGATCGGTCTACTTTGATCTATTTTGAAAACTCCGATCAAAACCGATAAGGGCGTTATCGGCCGATTGCGAACAAATGCCGATCCATCGGTGCATCCCTGGTCAAGACTCGGTTTTGTAAGAAGCGGGTGGATTACAGCATTCTTAAAGTAAGCAGTGACCTGACCAGAGACCAGAGAAGCATTAATTATAGAGAGCACGCTGGCACCGATGGACTGAAAAGCACTTTTAAACAAAGATGAGGGTAAGATGTGGAGGGGGCATGCAGAGGTCTTCATAGAGTTAACTAGTTTGGTTAACTCAGGCAAAGAAACAGGAGCAAAGCTATCTAGGATGATGGGCCTGGTTGGAGACGGGAGAGGCAGCGATAAGGCTGAAGGAGAGATGCTAGATCTAACCTTATTGACTTTGTCCACGAAGAAAGACAGGAAGTTCTCACAGTCTGTAACAGAGTGGATGGAGGCTGTAGGAGAGGCAGGAGAGACGAAGCTGCTGATGGTGTTAAACAGCACCTTGGGGTTCCCTTTGCTCTGGGACACCAGGTTGGAGAAATAGGAAACCCTGGCGTATCTGACTGCAGAGTTAAAGGATGTCAGAAGATCCTTTAGGTGCAGCGGATGGACGTGGAGATGGGTTTTCTTCCACAAACGCTCATTTTTTCTGCATTGGTGCTTCAGGCTGCGAAGGCTGTCATTAAACCAGGGAGTAGGGTTCACTGCAGGAACTGATCTGGTTCTGACAGGACAGATGTTGTCCAGAATGGAGAGGCAGTGCTCGTTAAACTGAGAAGTTAAGGAATCTGGGTCGTTATCAGAAGAACAGGGTGGATCAAAAGCAGCAGAACAATTGCTAGCTGTGCTCTCATTAAGAAAACGAGAACTAACCACACGGCAAGAGAAGTTGCGCTTCAAAGTCCACAAAGTGTTATTATGGTAAACACCGTTCTGCTGCTAGAGAATCAGCCTCTCTCTCTCTCTCTCTCTCTCTCTCTCTCTCTCTCTCTCTCTCTCTCTCTCTCTCTGTCACTCACCCACAGTGCTGAGGGACAAACACAACCTTCGCGGCAGCGATGCTCACATTTAACATCGACTGCAGTAGAAGATCTATGTAAGGGAAAAAACGGGAAAAAAATAAAAATGTGTAGCTCTGTCAGCTGGGCTCAGCTCCAGTACCAGTACTCCCTCTGCCCCACGCTCTCTGCTGCCTCCGTAAAACGGGAAAAACCTGGATGTCTAAAATAACTGACAACAGATCCTGGGTCAGTCAGGTGCGAAACAAAAACCACAGCTTTTGACGATCACGTGATGGCTTTTGCTGAAATCGCAATTTCTGTCTAAAATCGACAGATCGTTCAGCCCTAGCAGGAGTATTTCTTTAACAAGTATGCAATGCAGTAATGTACTCACAGTGTTGCTGAATGACAGATCCAGTTTCCAGATCACTCCATTAGAATCCTACAGAACCACACAGCAGAGACCCCTGTTAGAAATCCCATCATGAACACACCTCTGCTGGGTTTCTGGTTTCTGACCTGAGCCAACCAGATGGAGGAGTTAGACGAGGAGCTCCGGACCACCGACAAAAGACAAGTGTTGTTTTCAACCATCATCTCCTTACTGGGCTCCAGTTTAAACCTCCTATTGGGATCTTCACCGGTGGCCGAGACAATCATCTTCACGTCCCACACCTGCAGCGAGGACGGGCAGATGTTTATGTCCTCATCTCTGTGGACATCCCAGAAACGGATCACGTGATAGGAGCACCAGAGCATGCTAATGTTAACGTGACCAGCTCAATGGGAATGCTGATCCTGTTCTAGATGTCTCAACCTCAGACTGAGCTGCAGGACAAGCAACGAGCATGCTTTGACCCCTGTTAGGTTCTGCGCTTTATTAGAATTACTAGCATATTTTGTTGCTAACATCGGACGTTTTTGCACAGAAACATTTAACAGCGTCTTTAGGATGACAGGACTGTATGATTGGAGCACACTGAAGGCTGTGTTGAATGCACCGGCAGGTGAATGCATAACAACACAGAAATGTGACAACAAATCACAGATGTGATTAATAACAACTCCAGTTTTACGGGACTAACCACTCAGACCTGCATTAACCAGGTGAATCCTGTCAGAGTTTACTTATTTAGTACAGCAAACTAAAACCACCGTGCTGTCCCCTCTTCCCTGGATGGGGTAATCAGGCGCAGGTGATATGTTGAGAACATTTTCTGCCCAGACCGTTTTAGATGTGACACATAAGGAGCCTCATCACTTTGGGTGTTTCTCAATGTCAAGGCGCCTGGCCTTGCGAGGCGATGTCTTGCGAGGCCAGGCGCCTTGCTTACGAGGACACGGTCCTTCCTTAGTCAAAAAAACGGTTAAATGGAACAGACTTGCATCACGTGACCGCGGCTTCCACGGCGGTCATGTGATGTACTTTTTAAATTGTGTATGTTTATTTAATTAAATATAAAAGTGAGTTACTACCCGCTAGCCACCGAAGCTGCAACTACTAAGCAACTAACCAACCATAGATAACTTCTTTGGATCTAAAAAAAAAAACATTTTAAATTAGCTGACTTACTTTTAAACTTGAAATTTGTCCCCGAAGTAGCTGCTAGCTTCTGATCCGCCATCTTTTTTAAAATACCGCGGTGTATTCTGGGTAATTTTTGACCAAAGGCTAGGCTACAAGACACCTCCCGTGTATCCTTGCTCAGCTAGCTAAACGGCTAACAAACAGAGAACACACGCCTCGGTAGAACATGAACGTTGGAACACGTCTTGGCGGCTCCTGATGACGTATCTCCTAGGCAACTAGGGCGGGGCCAAGACACCAAGGCGAGGTTCCTTGACATTGAGAAACACCCTTAGGCCCAATCTCAACACTCGCACTTGCACCCTTCATTTGGTGCAAGTGCGTAGGGTGTCCCGATTCTCAAGTGCATAAGTTGACCACGCCCCCATCGCACCCTTATGGGCTCGACACACGGGAGGCGACATCGCCTCTCCTCCATTCATTTTCAATGAGACATGTGCGACAAAGCGATAATCGCAGGTCTCCCTCCTACCAAGCGAAATGCAAAAAACGTGCGTGTGAAATGTTGCGCTCGTGCACGTGTCGTGCACGGACGACCCAGCGACGCGATCCCAGAAAACATTTTCAACTTTTCATCGCCGTCGCTCGGACGAGGACCAATCAACGGAGGTTTCATTCACTGACAAATGAGCGGACAGGATGCTCCGTACATCTCCGAGCAAACATGAAGGAGAAGTTGATTATTATTATGTTTTATGTAGTAAAATCACAAGTAAGATTTCACATAACTTTAGCAGCACCTTGTGAAACATCATATCTACCACTTTTTAAACTCTGAACCGCTTAAATAAGCTTAATTCCCTCCAACCTGACACGGCCAAACAAAACAACGGAAGTTTCGATTTCGCCATGGAACAGAACGCGTTGACGGCTTTGCCGCTGGCCGCTGCCGCGGATCGCCTCCCGTGTGTCAGGTAATAAAAGCGACAGCGACAAATTTCGCTGATCACGGTCGTTTGTCGCCTCCCGTGTGTCGAGCCCATTAATCTGCACTTCACCCAAGTCCGCAGCGATGCGGACCTCGGGCAAGGGTATTACCCACAAGTCATTGCTGCAGGAGAGAAGGCTCAAGTTCCTTTTCTGAAAGTTTGTATTTTCTAATGAAATGAGTTCATTTTAGGACGACTAGTTGATGCTCCGAATGGTTTAGACAAAGCAGCAGTGAAGTTAAATGTATTTCAAATAATTGCTTTGTTGTTTGAGTTGTTAATAAAGGTTTTTGAAAAACGTTTCACAGTGACAAGCATCCTGGCATGCGTTGCAATCGATGATGCAACGCTCCCCGTCTCAGTTCGCCAATTATTGGCACACTTGTGTACGACGCACTCAAACCCTACTGCGCACTTTCTCCAAGTGCACTTTGCTGAAGACCGCAGGGCGCCGCGCGAGTGTTGAGATGGGGTCTTACTCATAAGAACAGAGTGATGATAAAGATGTGTTTAGCAGCTGAGGCCTTTGGTCTGTAAACGTGACGTAACAACATGATGCGTTGCTAGCACGTTAGCATGAGGAAGCTAATTATTAGTGACAACTATTCTCTTCTTTTCGGGCTGCTTTAACATCATGTTGCTGTGATGTTTTGCCCACAGCCTAAGCGTACAACAGAAAACACCATGTAATGCTTCAAACACAGCCTGTGTGCTTCTTCTCTTACCCGAACAAATCCATCGGCACCGACTGTCATCAGATTTCCCTCTTCCAGAGCGAACGGAAGGACGGTCCCAGAGTGGCAGTTTCTGCCATTTCTACGACAAATCTCCACCTGGACGGTGTTTCTGCTCCAAAGCAGCAAGTTGCCCCACTCAGTGCCTGACACCACCTGACAGGAAGAGATGTTGGCAGCAGTGTTCAGGTAAAACACAACCTGGAGACTGAACTTCCTCAGGTCTAAATCTCTTCCATTCCTCTAAAACTCATTTTTCATGCTAGACCCGGGCTTCAGAAACAAAAACGTGTCCTGAAGACAGGAAGTAGAAAACTCGTCCTGATTTTATTCAGATATTATTATTTGGACTCATTGAGTTCATCACTGTCAGCTTTGACAGATATTTGTTCTCCATATAACTCTGTTCTCATCCATGGATCACTAGATTATTTACTTGTGTGGATAGGCAAAACCGACAAGTTAATGACATTCTTATGAGCTGCATTGCATGCTGGGATGATAGCTTCATCTGGTGAGGAAAGTTGAAGCTCTTCTTTATCCATGAAGGCATCTGGACATCTTTGGCTTCTTGAAGACGTTTGGGTTCTCATCCGAGGAGCTTTGTCAGTTCTGACTGGGATCTGGGAAGGTCTACAGCTTACAAGCTTGACCCTCCCACATTCCAACAACTAAAGCAGATCTCTACATGTTCTGGCCCTTCTAACATCTGCTGGAAGCCAAATTTTAAACATTAAACTACAAACCCGCCCATCAGGAAGCTCAATGAAGCCTTTAACATCAGTTGTGCCGTATTTTCCAGACTGCCCCACGATCCCTTGTAGTTTGAGACCATTGACCTTAGATCTCATTCTCCAGAACCTGGCAGAGAAGAAGGAGAAAGTGTATTTGGTGAAGATTCACTTCACCCAATGTTGGGCGGAGCTTTCTCAGCCTTCTTTTCTCTCTGTTCGTTTACTAAAACATTGTGACTAAATGAAGCCTCAGCAGCCGTTTACCGGATGTGTCCAGCTCCGGATGATGTGAACCAGTTCGGGTGGTACGGGGAGAAGCTGACTCTGTAGACTTCCTGTGAGGCGGCCGGGCAGCTTTGCATCAACTCCTCCTGTCTCCAGTTCCACAGGGTGAGCGTGTAGCTGAGGTCGAGGCTGATGCTGACCAGCAGGCTCCCGTCATGGTTAAAGTTCACATAGCTGTACTCGCGCTCTGTGCCTCCTAGAACATCAGCACGAGCATCAGAAATGTAGACCCAATAAGAAAAAGGAACAGCCTGCTGGATCTTTTACCTCTCAGGATGCGGTACGGTCGTAGAGAGGGATACTCGTAAACGATGATGTGGGGGTTGTTTCCCTTTTCTGCCACAGCAAAATACTCCATGCTGGGACAAACCTTTAAACACAAACAAAAGAATGAAAAATACATATTTTAGGTTTTCCGATAAAATAGTAGCAGTCTCCTGACCGCGGCGGCTCCGATTCCTCCTCCGCTGCAGGAGCGCAGGAATCGCTGCTCCTTGGTGAGAATGTCCAACAGGATGAGGATGTTTCCTGCGATGACGATCAGAGTTCTGTCATCCAGCAGCTGCAGGTTAGCTCTGCGTCTGGTGTCGTAGCCGAATGAGTAACTGAATACGTGAAGAATTAAGGATGAGCATCATGTTTACTGAGGCTTTCTTCAGATTTGAGTTGGAACATTTGAGCTTCTCTCAGATACCTGGAACCGGCCATGATTGGAACCCAGGGACATAGTTAGGACTTTAGAAGTGGGGGACACACAATAGGCATGAGGACCCGGGGGGGGGGGGGGGGGGGGGGGGGGGAGTATACAAAAAATATGTATAAAACCACAGCCTAGAGCAGGGGTCGGCAGCCCGCGGCTCTGCCTGTATGATTGGATATTTAAATAAAATGCTTAATATTTTACTGCATTAATTCTATATCTGTATACCAATTCTAAATGTAAAGATTGTCTGTAAACCTGAACAGGTCCAACCCGGTCTTACTGTGAGACCGGCCTGGCGGGTCACGCTTGTGCGTGATCATAGGCGCTTTCTGAGCTGAAGAGGATGTGAGATTCTGGACTTCTCCTCAGACGGCTCCTGGATGCGTCGCCATGTTGGAGACAGGAACAAGCACTATTCAGCCAAAGTTTCATAATCAGGAACATTTTCTGAGTGACAAGTCTCTCTGGGAGGCCGGGTCTGGAAAACACTTGCTTCAGTGGGAGGAACCTTCCGGCATGGCTCTGGTTCTGCGACGCGCTCCAAGCCCCTCTCCACATCTTCAGCTCGCTGTGCACCTCACGTGCGCGCTGACAGCGAGCTGTGCTGAGCAGTGTCCAGCTCAGATGTTCGGATGGGAATCTTTTCTTGAGTGATTTAGCTTCAAATGCGATGTGCGTAACAAATAAAACGTCAGTTCGTCTGCATGCATCGGGGTAATTCTTTCTCCGTCAAAATAAACGGCCAGCATGAACCCTGCCATTTAACTGTTTTGTTTTCTTGTGAAAATTGTTGCAAAGAGATAAAATTAAACTTGATTCCGGCCGGAGCCAGGCGCACTGCGCCGTTACCTCCGTCACTGTAAATGAGGGGAAAACACATTGATCGAGTCCTTTTCTGACCTTCCCCACCTACAAAGTTTAATTACAACAATCAGAGCCTGGATTTGTGTTCTGAACAGTTTAAACATGTTTTAAAAAGAAATGTGTGACAAAAGCGGCACCTGCTCAGTAAAAGCACTAACAGGGTGAAAAATATCTAAATATTGTAGGCAGAGACGGGCTACAGCTTCCGGATCCATTTTATACAAATGGTTTTACTGATTATCTTCTGTTGAAAGATAACTTTGATGTACACAAGCGAAAGGTATTGGCAACTGTCACCTGCTGTGATTGGTTAAAGCAACTCTCGGCTGTGGCTCCGTGTTTTCTTTACTGTGGGAAACCGGTAAGAATGGCTCTTTGATGAACAGGTTGCCGACCCCTGACCTAGAGGCTCTTCTATGTAATGTCAAGAATGCAGAGCTGTCAAGATCACAGGTGGCAGTAAAATAAAAGCTGTAATACTTTCAATTCAGCTTGTGCATTTACTATGGGTGCACGTGTCAAACACGCTAATGTTTGATTTAAAGAGCAAGTCACCCCCTACAAGAAATTTACTTCACTCCCACTTGTTGTTTGAAAAATGCAACAAATGCTGTTGCCTGGCAGACCGAGAGGGCGGAGCCGCTAACAAATACACACACACACAGGCTCACAATGGAATTGTGACATCATAATGTACCAGCTAACATCATAGCATACCTCTTAGCCAATAGCGGTGGCAGATTTACATTCAAATACAGTGCAGAGTTTTTCCCTGACGACGGCGCAACACTGACAGTTTTAGGCAGAATATTTAAATTTTAACTAAGATGCACTGAAGTGCCAAATTATTGACAACACATGTCTGCAGCACGATTAGACACTCGTTTATTTAGTTTATCAGCAAAAGAAAGTTGATTTGGGGGTGACTTGCTCTTTAAATGACATAAGTGGATGTGGAGAAACTCCAACATCATTGTGAAGTTTGCGGACGACACCACAGTGGTAGGTCTCATCACCGACGACGATGAGACGGCCTACAGGGAGGAGATCAGCGCCCTGACCAACTGGTGTCAGGACAACCGTCTCACCCTCAATGTCACAAAGACAAAGGAGTTGATAATGGACTTCCGGAGGTGCAGAGGAATACACACCCCCATCACCATCAACGGCGACTCTGTGGAGAGGGTGAGCAGCTTCCGTTTCCTTGGAGTTCATCTGACTGAGGATCTTACGTGGTCAGTGCACACAAACAATACAGTGAAGAAGGCACAGCAGCGCCTCTTCTTTCTCAGGAGACTGAAAGATTTGGCATGAGCCGCCGCATCCTCAGGACCTTCTATCGCTGTGCCATTGAGAGCATCCTCACTGGATGCATCTCCGCCTGGTATGGCAACAGCACCGCTTACAACCGCAAAGCTCTCCAGAGAGTAGTGCGGTGTGCTGAAAGGATTATTGGAGGTGAGCTGCCCTCCCTCCAGGACATCTACAGGAAGCGGTGCCTGAGGAAAGCGGGGAGGATCATCAAGGACTCAAGTCACCCCAGCCATAAACTGTTCAGACTACTTCCATCAGGAAGGAGGTTCTGCAGCATCCGGTCCAGAACCAGCAGACTGAGAGACAGCTTTTTCCATCAGGCCATCAGACTGCTGAACACGGAGCAGACACCTCACCCTCACTACTGAAACTCCAACATTACACGCTCCATACTGTACATTAATGCCACTGTTTTGCACATACCAGCCTCTGTATATTTTATATCTCTTATCTTATTGTTTACTTTATTCATTGGTTAAATATGTATGTACGCATTATACACACACTCACATGCACACACGTAGAAAAATAAAAAAGAAAATACTAGCACACACATTTAGGAATGTATATACCTTTCATACTATATATATTATTACTTAGATTAGCCATTTTTACATTTTGCTTGTTTTTACGTTATTGTATTTTGCACAACTGTTGCTGTGAAGCTCGCACACAAGAATTTCACTCACATGTACTGTACCTGCACATGTGACGTGACAATAAAAGCGATTTGATTTGAAGTGATGTTTTTTCATCCTCCGTGTGTAATATATGTGCCAAATGTGTATTTGTGACAAACGGTTTCCAGAGTTAACTTCAGGGTCACATGACCACCACCAACGTATGTTCTTAAAACTCACAGCTGCTCAGCAGAAACAAAGTCCTCCAGGCTCTAAACATCCAGACTCTGGAGCAGAACATGAAAACGACACATAGATGATGAAAACTTTATTAAAATATGTGGAGAAACAAGCGCTGACTTCCGGCGTTACCTTGGAAACGCTGAGCATTCTAGCTACACGGCTTTATTCAAACAGCTGGTGGTCTCTGTTGTAGTTCTGATATCTTTGTAGTCGTCGTAGGCATGAGTGAATAATTATTGCTCCGTCTGGATGAAGAACACAGCTATGTCCTTTACTTCCATTGTCTTTTATCTAGCATCGATTAACAGGGTCTGCCTATGGACGCGCGTGAGCCTTGGTTGCCGATAGGGGACTGAATCCACCTGAGAATCGTTCGTGGAGCCGATAAAACTAGGAAGGGAGGGGAGCGCTTTGTCAAGCAGGGATTTATCAGGAGATCCCTGATCTTCTAAGCTTGCTTTCTGGAATACCCCCTGACAGTTGGCAAACTATAAAAAATAGTAAGCGTGTCCTGTTTACTACGTAGAGTGACAGCAGGAACAGCCAATCACACGTTAGCAAGTATCAGCAGAGCTAATAGGTGAGCTTATGGGTGGTTCTAATGGGAAACAGGCTTCAACACAAGTGCTTGTTTTCCCCTTGGTCCTAGTGCTCCACCAGTGTCCGTTTAATCAAGCGTAATATTGTTTTTGGATAGTGAACGTGCAGAGGGAAAGAATTGACTTAGGAAAAACTACGCTGATGTTGGAACCTAACTCATGGAGAGCTGGGATGTTCTAAAGACGAGTGCTAATATGGAACAACAAAACGTTGAATGAGTGATGTAAATATCCACAGAACGGTTCCACAGACAAGGATACTAGAGGTGCAGCAGGTCTTCTGGGATCTCAGACTCAGGTGAGACAAACGGCCTCGAGTGAAGCTTCTCGTATTCGTAGAACTTATTAGCAGGAATCTCCTGTGACTGTCTCTCAGCCTCCTGATGCATCACTGGGGGTTTGGTCTCACATCCTGTCACAAGAAGAAAGGTTTCAGTCACCTGTGACGACCAATAAGATTCCATCATTAGAAAATAAACTCTATGGTGAGAGTTAAAGACCGGACCAACCCATTAAACGCTCCGTAACATCAGATCCTCAAACAGTGGTGGATTCTGCCTCTGAGAGCAGTTCACTATTCACACAGCTGACGGCACATCTCTTGGTATAGAGCGCCATGTGGACTTGTTTATTTTTTAAGGATAGATGATATATCTGCTTCAATGTTGATATTGGCCCATGCTGGTCACTTTTTAATAAATTGGTATCGGTCTGAGAAGTAAAACTGGACTGATATCAACAACCGATGTTCTTGTTTCCATTTATGTGCGTGTTTCAGGGTGTGTGTGATATTTGTTTAGGTGTGATGGTGATGCAGTGAAGATTGTGAGGGTGTTTAACTGACGCAGAGATGAAATGTCAGTGCTGAGGTCCCTTTCACCTGGTGTCAAAAATATAGGGTGATGTAAATAATATAATGTTAGTTATCGGCCATAAACAAATTTCTACATCAGCCCAAGTCAACATTATTTAACCTAACACTATTTAAGGAAAGTGGATGAGTGGAGAATAAAAGACCAAGTCTCAGGCCTAAAACTGTTCCAACGATGAGCAGAACCAGAACGACTAGGCAACAGGAACAAATCCAGCAAAGGTATAGTAGAAAAGTCTACAAGACAGATGAACATCGATCGAATGTTAAATGATTTCAAAAGATTTGTTGAGTTTGTCTCTATTACCAAGATTTAGGTGACTTATTGACTGACGGCTCATGGAACGGTGAAGGCCATCGTGTAACCCCCAAATTCCACTACCTCCGCTCCGCTCCGGTCCGGTCCGCCCCCGCCTTCCGCAGCCGCTCGCTTCCGAACTCAATTTTTACTGGTACCCGCTCTACAACGGCTCCGCTCCGGTGCGGAGACCTGAGGTGGGCAAACAGGCATGTGCGGGATTTTCGAGATCTTGCGATACAGTCCGAGCAATAAACGCGGAAGTTAGATCCAAACACCCGTTGTGTGGGAGAAGCATCGAAATGAACTGTTTAATCTGCCCATCATTTGTGTTGACAGATCAGCAGTGTTTGGATCAACAAAGTGTGACTACTTTGATAGTGGAAACTGTATTTATGGCTTTCTTTTGTGCATTTAAACTTCAGCCGCCACTGATAGTTGTTAAAAGTTGTTAAACCTGTGCATATGAAACACAAAAAGCCTTTTGTTTATCGATTTATTGTGAAAAACGGAAGTTGTGCTCGCTCCTTTTCCTGTTGGGCGTTTGTGATTTCTGTCCATTTACTGCGGAGGTGCTCCGGTGTCCAGCGAAAATAGGATCGATTCTATTTTTGCCGGACGCCGGAACAGAGGGCGGCGCACGGCACCGCACTGCCGGAGCACGGCCGGAGCACGGCCGCAGTAGTGGAATTGCTCTGATTGGCTACAACAGGACCGATTTTGCTCTGGAGTTCGTGCCGGAGCGGAGCGGAGGTAGTGGAATTTGGGGGTCAGTGGTGCAAAAGGTGTGGCAGCAGTGAGAACGTGTCTGCTTCAAACCTGAAAAAGCTTCTGTGATTGAGAAATCTGGTAACAGTTGATGTGAACTGAAGTTTGGAAAATTTAAGATTTTTGTGAAATTTTCATGAAGATCATAATTGTGATTTTACAAAAATGGTAAAACATTTTTAAAAAATGGAAAAAGCTGAAGGTCTTGTGGGTCAATTAAAACTCTAAACCTAGTCTCTAGGTTGATAAAAGCTTTAATGAATTTTAAAAAGGTTTGGAGATTTTTCAGTGAATTTCAGATGTAGCCTGGCCAGCCAGCCCCACACTTCCTTATGGGAGGCCTTTGGTTCTCTGTGCAGAATTATGATGACTTGCTTCTTGGTCAGAATAAATGCAAAATTCAATTCAAAAATACTTTATTAATCCCAGAGGGAAATTGATTTAATCCCAGAGGGAAATTGATTACAATAACAGTATTCAAACTAACTAAATTAAAAAGCATTAAGGGCACAGTTTTCATTTATTTATTGACCGCGGTGAAGTTAGCTTGAAGTTGGACGTTGGATATTCGACAGACATTGGTTCCCCCGGTCAGAGATAAATCTTCATGTCGTGCGCTGTGCGGCACAGACGGCGGTTAGCTGAGTTCCGAGGACCGCCAATGGGAACGGTGGTTCGCTTAGGAACTATCAATGAGTTTGTAGTCCTTTGTAAACAAGTACAAAAATTCAAAAGCTTCCAGAATAATTGCTTAAATGACTCAAAATCACTTCTGAGTTGTGTTGCTAAACTACATTTACAAGACACATCAGTTTTTATAACATTTCATAAAATCTGATCTTTTTTTATTACAATTTTTATCCAAAATGATGAGATTTTTTCAATAGCTCCTAGGAAATCAGCCTGAATACCTAAAACCATTTTTCAATGGTGTTACTTAGCCAAACCAATAAGACACAGCTGTTTGTATTCACATTTTTCAAGATCTGATCTGTTTTATTAGGATTTTTTATAAAAAATTCTGTGATTTCTTCTAATAGCTCCTAGTTTAACTGATTTTTATTCTCAAAACCATTTCTCTGTGGTTTTACTAAGCTAGATGATAGAGAAATTATTTCGGGTGTTTACATCAATTAACCTAGGATGTATTGAAAGAAATTGTTTAATTTTTGATCAAATTCCTAATAAAAAAAAGGTCGGATCTTGTGAAATAATTAAAAAAACTGCCGTGTCTCATTGTTCTACATTATTAACATTATTGAGAAATGGTTTTGGATATTAAAATAAATTAACCTATGATGTATTGAAAAACAGCCCCTTCATTTTGGATAAAACATTTAATAAAAAAGATCAGATTTTTTGAAATATTATAAAAACTGCTGTGTCTTGTAAATGTAGTTTAGTAACACCACTCAGAAGTAATGTTGCGTAATTTAGGCAATTATTCTGGAAGCTTTTGATTTTTCATGGTACTCGTTTACAAAAGATGTTGTTGATGGTCCCTAAGCGAACCGTTCCCATTAGAGCTCAGCTAACCGCCGTCTGTGACGCAGCGCACGGCATGTTGACCGTTGGAACCAGCAATGTCTGTCGAATAACCGATGTCCAACTTCAAGCTAACTTCACCATGTCACGATCTGCCCCTGCCCTCCTGACTGTGTTCCTCTCCTGCCTTGATTACCCTTATTGTTCTCACCTGTCCCTCGTTAACCTGCCCATGTTTCCCTAATTAGCCCTCTGTATTTATACCACCTGTTTTGCCCCTGTCCTTTGTCAGATCATTGTTGTTTGTTGGTGTTCCTGTTCATCCCATCCTGCCATTAAACCATTTTTACTTTTACTGAAGCCTGCATTTTTACCTCCTGCTCAGCTCATCCACACATGGTCCGCCGTCTCCACCTCGTTCAACGTGACACACCACCGTTATTTAGCTTTTCAAAAAGCGTTAGCTTAGCATCAGCAGCAAACTTCCTGCTAGCGCAGTCTGTAAAATGTTGCTTCAACTTTTGACTAAAACTGACAGGAAAACGCGTATTTGTGACTTGTAAAATGTAGTCTACATTACCTTCCAGTTGGGAAGCAGGATTCTCATCTTTTCCTCTGACGAAACCTTCAACTGACATTTCATTGACTTTCCGCAATTTTTATCTGTAGAAAAAAAAATATTTTCAGTTCATCGCTTCTCTCTCATTACACGCCAGTCACTCATGTAGAAAAAAAAAGTATTTTCAGTTCATCGCTTCTCTCTCATTACACTTCAGTCACTCATGAACAAAGACTAAAGCTGTAATTCTCCCCGCTGCGCTCTTCTCGATAAAGTTACCTTGGGTTAATAAGGTTATCGATATGGTGAACTTGGGCTCAGACCAACTGTCCCGTGAACGTGTTACCAGGCAAGATGTAACACGAGCTGTGATAGGTTCTTGTTGTGAAGGATTCTGGGTAATGTAGTTATTTTATATTTCAGCGCTGCTGTTTCTTCAACTAGAAGAAAACCAGCAGGTGAGAAGCTAAACGGATAAAATCAAAATAACAAATATTACAGACCATCGTAAAGGAAACATTTAAAGCTAAAAATGTTAATTTTATGCTCACTGTAACGATATGTTTACTAATTATTAATTATTTTTATTATGTATTCTTTTTAAAGACTGTGATTTTACTGCTTTGTTGTGTACTTTTATTATTGATTGTGTTTTTGTTATTATGTTGTGTTTTACTTTTTACCTGTACAGCACTTTGGTCGGCTGCCATGCCGTTTTTCAATGTGCTTTATAAATAAAGTTGGCATGGTATTTGTAAAAATAGGGCAACAGCGTCATACTTTGATTATATTTAAATTCTGATTAAAATATCAATCAATCAAAGCTTTATTTATAAAGCACCTTCCGCAACCCTGTCAGGAAGCCCAAGGCAGGAAGTACGGCACTTAGAGCGAGGGACAGCGAGCAGGCCTTGGTCAGAGGAGCGCAGAGCGCGTGATGGGGAATGTCTGTTCAGGAGTGTGGCTAGATAGGGATAGATAATGATATTAATATTATATCAATGATAAAATATTAATAATAATTTTGATTTTAAAAATCTATCAATAAACGTTACAGATACATATACATTTGTTGGATCCATAGACGCGAATACGGCTGGTACTTGGGTACTAGGATAAACCAGTTTGCGACAGCCAAGGTTTACTTACGGCTTTGTGCCGTAAACCGTGCAGATGCTCTTGAACACATGGGAGAGTGTGTTTAGTGTTCGTCTGAACTGTGAGTATTTTTGTCTAAGTCTCCTTTATTTGTTATGTTATAGTAGAACATTAATAACGGGTTAAACGTAATAACGGTTGTTAGGTGGAACAAGCCGAACGAATAACAGGAAATTATTCACTTTCAAGTGTTTACAGATGGGTTCATTTACTCGTTTACATTCTCCAAATAGTCAAGAGTTTCTGATAGAAACCTTTACTTTAGTTACGTTGTTTACATGATAAATATGCACCAAAACACGAGAGATGCGGTATTCTTACATCTACTTTTGGGTTTTATTTCAGGACAAGCACCAGGAGTAAAAGTTAATAAAGATTTAGTCGCTTTTTAAGTGAAGTACCATATCCATTTATTCACGTTAAGAGGAGGGATGTGGTGTTTGAGCAAATGAAGCAAATTAAACCAAACCATCTGTAAAATAAACAGCTAACAAGTCAAAGCTAGTTTAGAAACAACCCTAGCTTACTTAGGAGCTGCAAAAGGGTAACATAAACGCCTCCTTACATCTTTGTCCAAGTCAATACAAACATTTTCAGCTGAGTTTTCAGGATTTTCCAAGTGGCGCTCGCTGCAGAACCTCAAAGGCGGAGCTGCACCAGAGTCAGCCCCGCCCATTCCATCAGAGTCAGTCCAATTCCTTCCAGTTGTCAGACATGATAGCATTCTGGAACCAAAGAGGGTGTTATAGCTAATATCATCTAAAATGCAAGATTGAGGACGGAGTAGAGGTTCCATATAATTAAAAATCAAAATTTTGATTTTTGAACTTTTTACCATGTTTTATTGTCATGTCCTCATAAGAAACACGCCAAAGCCATTTTTGGCGTCATTCATGCATTTTCCTCCCATCTCAGCTTCAATTTGGTCTCCTTCCCTGAAGCGGGTCTGGTCTTGGTTCTCAAATCTGGATATTCTGTGAATTTTCTGACAAATTATTTCTGAAATTACTTCTACTGAGACACCACCAAAAAAACCATACATCCCATCTACAAAGACACACTGGATGGCACAATTACATGTAACGCCACTTGTCTTCTATCAGATGTGATGGTGCAGTGTTTGTGGAGTCAGACTGATATGTAGTTTTGCGCAGCTTCGCCTCCCAGTAGCAGCAATATAGAGGTAGTTTGTAACCCTTTTTCTTCTTTTCTAGCTACACTTGCCAGTACTATGTTTACAACAATTTACTGGTACACCGTTTACAAAATAATAACTAATGTGTTTGTATTTTTTTTATTTATTCATTTATTTAGCCAGTGTGAGTCCATTTGTGAGCAGAGTTTCAACTAAAATGCTGTTTAGGAACGACCAAATTCAAAGAACTTTTAGAGACATACATATTTTTTGCAGAAAATAAACATTACAACTAAAATATGAACAAAGTAAATGTTTCAGCTGGCTAAATAGATTGCTGCTGAGCATGGACGTAATTTTCACTTTAGAAGTGGGGGGGACACGGGGGGGTGGATCTTTACAGTATGCTCTAATGGGAAACAGGCTTCAACACAAACGGTTGTTTTCTGCTTGGTCCTAGAGCTCAACCAGTGTCAATTTAATATAGCGTAATATTGTTTATGGATGGTAAAAAGTGCAGGGGTCAAAACTTGACTTTGGAAAAGGTGGTGGGGGGGCCATTATCCGTCCTTGCGTAGGGCCCCGGCAGGCACGCAAGTACGTACGGAGTCGAGCCCACTTTTTTAAACATCCGTCGAACGAGATGGATTACGCAAGCTTGTGATTGGTCAGGACGCCGCTGTTGTTTACAGCACCGCCATTGCGCCCTCAAAAACATAAAGAGAGCCGAGGATAACTAGCGGCAGACACGGAGAAGCTTGAAGAATACCTCGTGAAAAAACTCTAAAAACATGAACGTTTAATTCCCCCGTGACTGGAGGAGTGAAAAGATGTGCAGCAAGCGTTTCATTTGTGGACGGAAATGACAGGAAACGTGGGTTTAGAGGTGGGGAGCGCATGAAGAGGTGGAGGAGAATGAGAGACAAATATGTCCGTGTTAAAAAGTCTCTTATATACACAAAAAACACAATATAAACACACGATCTTGGACCGATACATGACAGGATACCACAGAACAGCGCTACGCCTCTGTGGTCCTGCTGGGCAATTGCTTTGCAACACTCTCCAGGAGACGGAGAAGTATGAGAGCAAAACGCTTCCGTCAATCCGTGCGTGTCTGTCCCTTGCGGAGCTGACGGAGAAGCATAAACCAGGCTTAAGACTGTGTCCCTGTGATGGACCAGAGGCCAGTCCAGGACCTGGGTGTCCCCCGACTCCAGGGGTGTACTGGGACAATTTTTCAGGCTGGAAATTTGTTACCTAGACTATGAAGTTGCTTCGGTAGTAAATGTACAATCAAGAATTTTATTGAGTTTATGTCTTAAATAATTTTTAGTTTAGTGCCAAGCAGAGACTCGCTGCCAACGGGGGACACGGATACGTAGGAGCAGTACCAAACTCCATAGTCCAAACATGGATCCTGATGCCTTCCTGTAGATTCAGAGGAAAGGAGCACAGTCCCATCTGTAACTCTTCTTACTGCTCTCAGATCAGCCAGTGTTTGCTTTGTAGCCAATAAATTCCTTACCTGAATCTATAAACATACTTCCTGTTTAGCTTCAGTGTCCAGGTGTGTTCAGCAGATTCACGAGTTTATAAGACGTTATTGACTCCACCAGACAACCGCGCTTCAGTATGTTGAACTTGGCCCTCAGGTGTTCTGAATGCTTTAGATGAATTTGCACACCTGGTTCAGTCTGGTAGGTGTTACCAGGTTCCTGTAGAACGTTACGAATCAGATGTTCGGCTCAGGTGTGTTGGAGCAGGGAAATAATGACAACATGTAAGATCAATGATGGATGAGTCTCCCGTTAAGTTTTTATTTCCATGTTTATCTCGGTTCTGAACAGAGTCCTGAACGGTCTCAACTGCATGTTTGTCTCCTGGAAAGTTATGAGTCGTCCCGTCACACAAAAATAAGTCTGTATTTAATTCCTGGTGTAGTTTTCTGATTATGGAGCAGATTCTGTTTTTTGTTTCCTCAAACTTTTATTTTCTCTGAAAATGACATTTTTGACAAGAAGAATCCTCATTTATGATGGAAAACTGAAAATTCACACAACACCTGAAGTCACTGTGGGAAAAGACACCTGTGTCTTAAAGTCCACCTGTTTCATCCTCGCCCACCCTACCTGTTCAACAGGTGGAAACACGCAATCTTTCTTCTGAGTCTTTATCAAAGAAAAACAGAATAAATGACAAAAGCCAATTCTTCTCAACGAGGCGCTTTCAAAACAGCCATCGACCAGAGTGCTGACCGCACAGGCAGAAAATTATTAAATGGGATGAAAAATAAAATTATTAAACGAGATAAAAATAAGATTAAATGGGATAAAAAATTAAATTATTAAATGGGATGAAAATAAAATTATTAAACGAGATAAAAATTAAATTAAATGGGATAAAAAATTTAATTATTAAATGGGATGAAAAATAAAATTATTAAATGGGATGAAAATAAAATTAAATGGGATAAAAACATTAAATCATTAAACAAGATAAAAATAAAATTAAATGGGATAGAAAATTAAATCATTAAAGGAGATAAAAATCCTTAGATAAAACAACAAAACCATAAATGATGTTAAAAAAACATAAAACTAAATTACCAAGGAGGGCCGTATCCCCTCTGAGGTTGAGTCGAGACCTCAGCAGGTCCAGGACCAGCGGGTCACATGACCTGAGGTAGGGAGGGGCGAGACAGCTAATAATTTTAAAATATTATTAAAAATGTTCTGTAGCGCAGCTCAAGGCCTGTATTTCACCAACATGACCGGAGGTTCACTTCCTTCATAAAGGGAAGGCCAGTCTGACACCGATATGAGAATCTATGAACTTGAACTGAATCTTTAACTTATCCACAAGACATCAAGACACCTGTGAAGACACAAGACTCGTTGTCAATTCCTTTAATAAAGTTATCTTTTCTGGCTCATAAAATGACTTTCCTAACTTTACAAGTTGCTACGGTCATAACCTACAATATGCTGTTAAATCTGAAGTGTTCAGTAATGAGAATGCTCTACAGCAGGGGTTCCCATTTCCGGGGTCGCGAACCTCCTACATCAGTGAGA